TGCAGATGTCGAGACCCCCCTGTATTGCATTGGCAGCCGCTGTTGTTTTCAATTTAAAGGGTCCCTCTAGTGAGAAACAATATATGATTATTTCACTAGAAAAAGCACAACCCTAAAAACATCTGCCATCATGGAAGTCTCCTCTTCTCGCTGTCAAGGGAATTTATGATGTACACATCTTGAAGAGCATCTCTAATGGTTCTCAAATGTGTGGATAATATTCAGTCACGTTGTAGGAAAATATGGTCATGATTCCATCCACTGCAAACAGCAGGGGGAAACATTAATGATTTTATTATTATGGGTAAAAGATGTTCTAACCAAATAGTACATTTATGAACCCCTAAAAACATAAGAATTGTTACAAATGGGAGTGGGCCACCCTGTTTGATAGACCCCCTGAACACAGACAAGCCAGGTTTAGTGCCATCAGGCAACAAGACGATATCAGACCACAGCTCGTAAGTATCACTGAAACCTTACAGGAACTGGAAGCAATATTTTACAGCTTCCATTACAGGTGGCGAAAGATAAATAAATAACAGTGTGCTGTTCATTAGTTTATTTCAAATCGTAGTTTTTCTAACCTTTTCTTGATTTTTTTCTTTTTGCCAAATCTTCTAACAGAATGTTCATTTCTTCTAATTAGCAGTTTGCTTTCAGTTATTCTTCTTAATGAAAGGATATGTCAACCTTCTCTCAAACCCTAAGGGAAATAAGGATGATTTTATTTTTATCCTGCTCTGGTCTAGGAAGGACGGAGATACGTTGAGCCACGTTGTGTCTGCTTAAGTCTGTCATTTCATGCCGCTGAAACCGGCTCTTTCATTTTGCGTACTTTCAGCTCAACAGTGTATTTAAAGACCAGAGTGAGGTTTACTACAGCCTGTACAGATTTGTGAAATAGATAAACCAGCTCTGAATCCTTCTTCTTACTCTGTGACTTTCAGTATTTTGCTTACTTTGCAAGATTGTACTGAGATAGTGAAGTCATAATTGCTATTTTTCTTGTATACACAAGCAATCTGGATTTGAGATGAACAGATGAATATGAAGCAAAAGTACAGAATGTCACCTTTTATTTCTTGGTATTTACTCCATATATGTTTTAACATTTTAGAATAATACCCCACTTTTTTTGGAGGTGTAATTATTGAGAAAAATTACAATTTAAGTAAATTAAAGTAGGATAAAACTTAATATTTTGTTGCAAATCCTTTTTACACAATAACTGCATCAAGCCCGTGACCTGCTGACACCACCAGCCTTGTGCTTTGTTCTTTTGAGATGCTCTGCCAAGCCTGTGCTGCTGACATTTTCAGTTGCTGTTTGTTTGGGGGGGTTCTGACTTCAGTCTCCTTTGCAGCAAGTGAAATACATGTTTGATGGCATTGAAATCAGGAGTTTGACTTGTCCAGTCTAAGACTTTCCACTGTTTTCCCCCGATGAACTCCTAGGTTGCGTTGGCAGTGTGTTTTGGGTCATTGTCTTGCTGTGTGATGAAGACCTGGCCAGTGCGTCTTGAGGCAGTTTCTTTTCGTAGAAAAGATGTTTCTGTACACTTCTCAAGTCATTCTCCTGCTAGGATCATCAGTTACATCACCAATAAAGATGAGTGGGCCAGTTCAATAGGCAACCATGCATGTCCAATACCTGACAGTACCCTCCACCCCGTTTCACAGAGAGCACTACATATTTCTCCTGACTCTTCTCCTTTCTTTTTGAATCATAGTCCCTATTCAAGAGACATAAGCCTCACATTTTTATGTGGAACCCTTCTGCTTCACCTTTGACATGCCGCAACTTCTGGGATGCAATTACTCTAACAAAACAACACTCTATATACTGTATAAGCTACATGCAGAGATGTCCTGTGAGGAATCCTAAACAACTGTTTCTTCTCTCCCGTAATCAAATCTCTCCAGTAAAAACCAAAGAGCAATGGTGTTTCATATATCATAGCATAAACAGAAGTCTTCTCCTATTGTTTTATTACTGCAATTTGTACAGCATTAACACATACCAAAAGGGAGCTCTCCATCTTTCAGTCACCTCTCTAATGAAAAATAAAACATTTCCATTGAATCAGACACTTGCCTAGTTAGCCGCAGTATCTTGTGAAGGGTGCAGTCAGTAAAGGCACAAAATGTATGAAACACCGTGGACTGCATGCAAAAATAGATTCAGGAGCAGAGAACCAGTGACTGGATAATTGAACAGAATTCAGTCACAGGGAAACCTAAGGAGGTAGGAATGGACGTTTTCCTGACAAGGATCCAGGAATTTCACACCAACCAGATCATTTTCAAAAACCCAAGCAACTGTGCTGAAAGGCACAGAAGCAAAGAATAAATCCTAAAGCTTCAGAAAGGTTTAAAACAAACACATGTGGTCCTGTAGGCCTTCCATTTCGATTTTTTAAATTCAAAACGTCACTGAAGTGGAAAAGGATGTGTTTTTCTGGGGGGAACCCAGCCGTGGCGTCAGTGTGTGTGAAAGGCGTGTGTGTGTGTGGGTAGCCCTGCTGGGACGACCTCTGCTGATATTAGTCCGTCCACATTTGTCACAACAAATCTGGGTCTGCAAAAAGTGAAGTCAAGCCACAGGAACAGGCACTTGGCGAATACAAAGCCAAGCATTCACAGCAAGAATCAAAAGAAAGGAGGGTGACCAACCTAAGGCCAGAACGACATGGATGAACCGGGAGAGAGCTGTGCTCCTCAGACACTTCCCCAGGGTGATGGAGTGCTGGAGCCTCTTTCAGGCACCAGGGCCAGCTTGTGACGCGGTGCTGTGTCATGTGATCCACCTGACTTCAGCTAGCATGCGGTCTGGTCTATCCATGTGGGATAACGGGCCTTGATCGCATTCATGCCTAAGGAATTAATTTTTGTGACAACTTCTTACAGGATATGGAGATTGCATTGCAGTGTGCATGTTTCAGTGTGGTATTTTATAGACGCACAATCACAGCTGCCCTGCTGCGCTGGGGTCAGTTCCTGGGTGCTGTCTGTGTGGAGTTTGTATGGTTTGTACAGCAGGGGGAAACATGAATGATTCCCTGGAAATAGGTGTGCTTTCTTTGGTAAAAAAAAAAGGGAGGAAGAGAGGAAACCAGAGATGTGAGGTGTTGTTTTCCTGGTTCATGCATTTACTTCAGTGTTCGTCCAGTGGGGGGCTGTACCCCGTTTCACAGGGGAGCCCTCCCAGCCAGCTCTCCATCACCAGCCCGCACCAGCAGGAACAGGTATGGTGTCAAGCCGCCAGCTTCTTTCAGAAAACACATGTTCTGGTTTAGTAACGGAAGACTAATCCAAACAGGATGAGATAGAGGCCCCCCGAAGTGAGACCAGACTGCTGCAAAAAACAACCAGACAAAGCAAGGGTGACACGGGCCCTGGAAATAAGTCCTGACAGCAGGCCTTTAACCCTTCTAAGGGGTCACTGTGTGCGTCTTACAATCCCACAGCAGCTCTTGGGAGGGTTCACCACTGTAAGTGTGAATTGTGACCTGTGGGTGTTGTTCTTTCACGTTTATCTGCCCTTTCCCACATGCTTTCTCATACTCTCGCAGGTCTAACCACAACCGCACGCGACTCGCCCCGGCTGGACTGAAATCGCTCTCCTGCGCCTGGCACCGCTGCTTCACCCCACTAACCTCGCGCACACACCCCCCCTCCTCCGCCCCCCGGAGGTTCAAGGTGTTACTGGCTTCGCAGCTGCGAAAGGAGCCTGCGTTTCTACCAGCCCACCGGAAATGGGAAATTTGGCTGAATGTGCTCAAGGATGGAGCCTCCGGCTAGCCGACCTCAGCTGGAACATCACCACCGCGCTTGAGAAAACGTTCAAAGCAGTCACAATGAGCACGGGCGGCATTGAGCAACCTCTGCGTCGCGCAATTGTTATTTCAGAATCTCCTTTCTGCGTTCTCCTTTAGCTCAGGGATGTCCCAGCTCGGCTCTTTTCAAGACGGAGCTATATCAAGGCTTTCGTCTCGTTCTTTCCATTCTGATTCTGATGAGAAAAAGCACACAGCTGTCCCAGGTACCTCCTTCCGGCAGGGAGTCGTTGAAGACGCCCTCTACGACCTCACAGCGGCTGCCGTCGCCCCCGCAGATCCGGCAGCGGTCCTCCTTGGTGTCCGAGCCCAGAATGCGGTCGCAGCCCACGTGCTGCTGGGACAGAGGGTCAAGGGTCAAAAGTCAGACAAACAGCATTCTTCCACGAAGAAAAGGTACCAGTGTGCTCTCGGGAGCAGGGAAGTCCATTGACCGGGAAAAATAATAGGTGGGTTTAATAATTGAGTGCAACGGTATCCAGTGAGAATCATTTCATTTCGTCTTTATTCTGACCCCTGCACTGCACAGGTACAGTAGTTTACTGTATCATTTGCTGTAGCTGCAAGACCTCACTATCCCAGGGTTACACACACATTCCCAAAAGCAAAGGACATCCAAACTGGCCAGCTTGTGCTTTTAACCTTCTTGCATCTATTCATCCATCCAGCTTCTAAACACTTCTTCCAATTCAGGGCTGCGGAGCCGGAGCCTGTCCCAGCAAGCCATGGGCACAAACACAGATACACGCACACTCACACCAGGGCCAATTAACCTACCACCATTGCACAACGGCAATGGCAGCCGGACTGGTCCCCATCCATTTCCTCCCCTTGTTCTGGCGCACCCCGCTGAGGAATAACATTCGCTTGTAGGAAATAAAGGAAGGGGCTTTTGCACTCTGTTTCTTTTTATCGGCAGCCTGTGCATGTTTTTCCCAGGCAAATTGTTTTGCAAATGTGCAGCCCATTACCCTTGATTATGAGCAACTTCACGCTTAACAGGGTGTCTTAAAGATCTAGCAGCCCTGTGGGTGTATGTGGGTATATGTATCTTTTTTACCTGTCTGCAGGGCCTGTGTTTTGAGTGCTTAACCCCCCCCCACCAAATTAAACCCTGCTGTCTGGAACAAAACAGCATGGACAGCCTCAATCATCCTGATGGTCTTTGCTGTCCCCAGGCCCGCCTATTCAGAAGCACCGTAAAGTGAAAGAGCAAAAGACAAGCCCTTACAGACTCCAGGGGGCACAGCTGGCGAGACAGGCAGCTCTAGTCCACTGCAGCTGCCCACACCTACAGTAGGTCACCTCTCCCTGGGCAGACGTCAGCCACTGACGGACTAGACAATTCAGTGGGCAAACGCTGTACCTCCTTGAACCCGTCCCCCGTTCCCTGTTGAACCAGTGATTTATCATGCTCAGACTGGCTTTTAGCAGGGGCACCATTTCCATTTAAATTGTCCCCATGTGTCTCTGTGTGTGCCCTGTGACAGACTGGCATCCCGCCCAGGGTGCATGATCGCCTCGTGCCCTGGGATCAGCCTGCAGGCTGTAGCAGCCCTTACCAGGCTCGCCCCAGGCCCCGACGCAGGGTGTCAGATCCACCCCGAGCTGCAGGCACGATCGACGCACCTTGCACTCGCCGTTGACGCAGACGTCCAGCGAGTCCTCGCGGCAGGGCGTGCCGTCCACGACAGCCGGGGCGCGCTCCGTGTAGAAGTTGTAGCCCTCAGCCAGGCAGTTCAGGGAGCAGGACTTCACGCCCCCTGTGGACAGGAAGAGTCATAAACAGGAGCCTGCGACCACGGGGGTCATATTCTGGGAAGGACCTATGCAAACTGGACCTCCTTCTCAATTAAAACCAAGACATGTGTACACAAGATCAGGCATGAAAGTAAACTCCAGACCTTAGCACGATATTTCTGCAAAGAAATGCACTGTAAAGTGTTTTCTGAAATTGATTCAGATTTTTTACACTTGTCGGCTGAGAGATCAAAGAGGAAAAAAACCCAGGTCGATCTTAAGTGCCGGCAACTACAATCTGAAACTGCTTTGCAGAAGAAAATAAAACTCTCTCTTGCTAGGCAGTGCATGTAAAGCGCTTAAAGAGAATTCAATTACACTAAAGTGCTTCCCTCAATTACAAGGTAACATTGTCGGTTTAGCAAATCTTTTTGATGGTCGTGCATTGTTCTTAATGGTGCTCTTTTAGATGTGAAATGCTGTGACTGTGCTCCACCAGCTGCAGAACAGCTGCATGCCAAGGCAGAGCTGAGGGTGCAGGAAGATCGAGCGATTTTGGATGGCTGGCTGCAAGCAGGCAGCTGAAAGTGATTATACCACACCCCCCCACCACCCATCCCCATCGCCCCACACCTGGGACTGATCAGCGTTTTGGCTCCTGACAGGTTTTAAGCATTTGGCAGAAGTGCCATTGGGGGTCAGGAGATCAAAACCAAAAAAAAAAGGTGGCAGGAAGAGTGCGGCCCTCAGCAAATTCCCAGGGAATCTGGAATGCAATAATCCAGCGCAGCCTGGTGCAAACGGAGTGCAAAGAAAGGGGCATTCAGGGCACAGTCGCAAGCATGCTCACAGGTGTCTACACCCTCAGCGCTCATTAAACTCCAAATCAGAGCGCGGCACAGGCTTTCCGTTTTCTGTTTTTAAGTATCCTATTTTTTAAAGTAGATTATCTTTTTTTCAGCCCAAAAACATTACAGTGCTTTAAAACAACAGTGCGTAGGAATGCTGTCTTGTTCAACAAACGCTTATTTTGTACAAATGTACTGTACAAATATGGGTGTGCGTGCATGAACAGTTGTCTGTATGTGCAGATGAGCAAAGGATTTGCACCAGGCGGTTGCATCCTGTCTGTTTCCTTTACTCGTGCCATTTGAAATCTGCCACTCCTCTCACCTGGCACCCCAGATTCATATGTGGTTTGTCGTCTTCAAAAAAACCCATCAAAAGCAGATTGGTTGAAATTTCGAGAAAGTGCATGCCTTCTGGCTAATGAAACTAGAATGTACACTGTTGGTCCTCCTAAACTGAGATCTTGGTGCTGTATTTCAGCACTTAGTCACAGGACAGGAGTTAGAGGTACTGGCTGGTGTGTTTAACAAACTACAATTCTTATTTATGAATGAGAACTAGTTCAGTGGCACTGAACCTGAAAAGCATTAAGGACAAAAAAACTGGACACGATTGATGGCCACAAAGTACTGATGGGATTTTATCAACGGATTAGCTTTCCTTTCACAATGTACATATCTACACCTTGGTTCAAAATCCCATGACCTCTCTAGCCCTCTCTAGGGTCATGTGAGTGAGAGTTAAAATGCTAAGTCTCTAATCCTTCCTCTCAACTTGCATTAAGACCACGCGGGCTCTTCCGGGGGTTCTGTAGGAAACACATCAAGGATTTACAAATGCATGTGCTGGATCGAGAGGATCCAGTTGAGGTGGCCTGGGCATCTGGGGAGGACGCCTCCAGGCCTCCTGCTGGAGGTGTACTGGGCACAGCCCACTGGGGAGAGTCCCCAGGGACAGACCCAGGACACGCTGGAGGTTATTCTGGCCTGGGAGCCCCTGGGTGCCCCCCAGGAGGGTGTGGAGGCTGTTGCTGGGGAACAGGTCCTGCCCCGTTCAGCCTGTTGCCACCACGACCCCCGCCAGGTGAGAGAACAGAAACAAGCACGACCATACACCTGAAGTAGGTTCAATAATAAAAACCACAAACCACTCATACTGTAAATGCTTGTCTTAAAGACCCATAGAATGAAAGACTTGGGAGGAATGTAAAGCAGAATGTAAAAACAATCAGACAAAACTCATTGAGATACAATAGAGCAGGGGTCCCAGTGGTGGTCCTGGGGGAACCCCCGGTTTCCGATTTCAGCCTGGTTCTTCATCACAGGTAATTGATTTAAATTTTCTGTAGAAGGCTAGAACTGGGATTTGATAGCTATCAGCCGTGTACCATTTCCAGTTTCTGAATTGCCCTCATTCAGATACGACAGGTGAAAAATAACCAACAGGACATCTTCAGGAAAAAAAGGTGCTCACGTTGGGTGTGTCTGACACAGCGTCATTCTCGCTTGTGTCTCTTCCTCACCAGCACATCACCTCTTAAGAGCTGATTAGGCATGAAAGTGCAAAGCCTTAAAAAATACAGCTAGAGGAGAGACTCCTTGAAGGTCTATATGCTGCAGGTGTTGAACGACTTTACAAGAAATCGTAAAAACGAACACCAGCTCTCAAAACCTTCATAAGGAGAAGGGACCTGCTGAACCAAACTACAAATCCCATGGTTCCATGCTGCAACTGCACTACAGGCAGGCTGTCGGCCAACAGCGGGGATGAAGCAAGGCCAGCTGTATAGTTTACTGGAAAAAACTCAACAATTTGAACAGCTCATACCTTTAAAAAATAAATAAACGGTAAGAAATGCTGCATGCCTTTTTTATGAACTGTCCTTGGCTGTCTACGCTCGCCGGCCCTGTGCTAGGTGTCTCAGCAGAGAGAATGCAGCGCTGCTGGGAGCTGTAATCTGGCCCTAACACACTGCAGACTGTGGCACAGCACATATTTGAACAGCTGTGAGGGATTTCCATTGTAAAATCAGCTGAGCTGATGAAAGGAGCACTTGTGGCCTGGAGCAGAAGGGCCCTCTGTGAGCCATTATGTTATTGGACTCCCAGATTAAAGGCAGTTATGTCGTCGAAAGTATTTATCTTTCCCGTCCAGCTCCTCGCTTGTCAAGAGAAGGAATTCTAGCCCGGGATTCTGGCGACACTTTCCAGGGCCACAGATGGGAGCCAGACTGCCGGAGCTAACGTTTCCAGAACCCACCAGCGCAGAACCCGTCACCAATACCAACCCCCCAGTCCCGCCACTGCGCAAGCCTGCTGGAAGGTACTGGCGCTGCCATGTGACACACCCCAGCCTGGAGCAAAACAGCGTCACATCATGTCCTTTCTGGTCAGAACAGCCGCTTCACCTCCCTCTGGGTCCGGGACGTAAGCTTGACGTCTGTCGCTTCCCCTCCCACAATCCCCCTGCACCCCCTCTGGCCAGCAATGGGGCAGTGCTGTTAGAGCACAAGCTGGGGGTCTGCCAGTCAAACCCACCCTATCCGGACAGGGCACTGCCCAGCCAGTTCTGTGTTCCACCGACGTGGAACGCACTCGAATCGATCTGGCGACACTGGGCATAGCCTTTAATTCGGCAAAACCCTCAACATTCGCCTCGTCTACTAACAGACTGCTTACAGAATCATGAGTGTCCTAATAACAAAGTCTGAGGATCAATATACCGTATCTCATGTTAGCAGGAGCATTTCAAGGAAATTAAGATGACCAAATATTAATTAAAGAAAAGATACAATTTTAGCTGTGGGCAAACTGCCTATATCCTTATGAAAAAAGACCCAATGCCCTCATTTTCGTTCATATTCCGCATCGAGCTGCTGACAGATCAGCAATGGAAACTTTTTAATTACATTGTCAGAATGACAAAGCTTGGTCTGTGAAGCACGACACCACAACACAACACAACAGGGACAATATTCAAACGACCAGACAGCTACCAAGGAGCCTTAAAAGCTCGAGTCGATAGTGAATCTCTCGCGCAGCCTCAGTCAAGAAACTCCACTCACCTCCCCGGTATGGTTTCCAGGTGTAAAACTTTCCTCTGAAAGGCACGCTGTCGAAATCTGCACACTGGCGCTCCCTGAAGTCCTGGGAGCCAGCAGGGCACTCCTGGACAATACAAGGCCGGAGTAAGGCTTGTGCATCGCAGGCCAGGCCATTTCCACAGGGAGGGCGAAGGGACAACCATGGGCAACAAGAGCTGCTTGTTGTGTCACACTGAGCAACACACGCTGTACAGCTGAGCCTCACAGCACAAACTCAGAAAACCAGGGAATGGATTTGCTTTTCAAGTTCAGTAAGTTCAATAATGTATAAGCATTATGTAATGTCTACACTAGAATGCGGCGATTCCCTGATGACTGGACAGCAAACTGACTGCCTAAGTGTGCCCAGGGCCATTCTTCAACCTGACCTGCCATTGGACAAACTCAGGGGACACTGGTTAAACAAGACCTCCTGACACTTTACTTACATCAATATTGCAGGATCTGAACCGTTTCCTCTCTCCCAGACAGTACTTTCCACCGATGGTTGGCCTGTAACCAAACGCAAATCACATCTGAATACAATTTTATAATAAAGTCCAATCAAAGAACTATTCAGACTCAACAATGGGGTTGTTTTTCCATTCTTTTTTTCTATTTTGTATCTCATCAGTGAAATGCCAGAATGGATTTCCTCCAGTTAAAAACAACCTATTTAAACGGGACAGAAGCTGTACAAACGTTTGCATTTTCATTCTTCGGTGGAATGATCCACCAACAGCCTGCCGCCTTTTAGAACCCGCATCTGCCACTTGTTTACAGAGCTGACTCTCGATCAGGGGCTGATTTTCTACTCTTACGCTTTGACACGTTTTGGGATTTTAGGTTTTAAGGGCCAAGCTAGGATGGCACAGCGGCACAGCGCTGGGGCCCCAGGTTCAATTCCTGGGGTGCTGTCTGTGTGTAGTTTGTTTTCTCTCCTTGTGTTTGCTTGGGTTTCCTCCAGGTGCTCTGGACTCCTCCCACAGTCCAAAGGCATGCTGGTAGGTTAGGTGGTTTCTGGGACAACTGGCCCTAGTATGAGTGGCTGGGTGTCTGTGTGTCTGTCTGCCCTGCGTCCTCTCCAAGGTGTACCCCTGCCTTGCACCTGTTGCTTGCTGTGCTAGGCTCCGGCTCTCCTGCGAAACTGAACTGCATGAAGCCGATAGAAAATGCATGGAAGGATGGGTGACAAGACACTGGCTTTCTTACCTACTGTATTATCTATTACAGACGTTAAATCATGAGTTATTTTTCTCTTTGATTTTTGTCCTCCTGAATCAGAAGCACACAATTTAAACTCACTAACAGCTGCAATTATGTGTGACCGTCGCTGTTCCGCGCGGGCTCGTGCCCTCCGCCGCTCTTAAAAAGTAACTACTAAGCAGCTACAATTCGGTGTATGCATGTTGTGATTCCAGCACTGACGTCACCCACAAATAAACTTGGTGTTGTGTCCAACTAAAACACCAGCTTTGCTGCAGGTGTGAGTTGAGTAAAAACACGGCAGTGACCTGTGAAGCTCCACCCACCTCGGGCTGTCACAGTGACGGACAGACGAGGAGACTCCGCCCCCACATGTGCGACTGCATTCTTCCCATGGCGACCAGAGGCCCCACCCACCATTGACGCCCTCTGGGCGGGTCCCGAAAGGCACACACTCCCTTTTATAGCACCACTGCAAGGAAAGAGCTTGTAGTTAATCCAAGATCCTGCTTTTGGTACATAAGCTGAACATATTAACAACTGGTCACTTCCATCTTTTGTTGAGATAATTAATCAAATGAGTAAACCCCCTGACCTCATTTAAATCTGATCACAGTTAGAAATAATATAGTATACAGTCAGTGGCAGAGGAATTTTAAAGAAATGTGGGCCTACATGACATGTAAAGCAATCACCTTTACGAATACTAATAATAAATGATAAATTCGGTTGATGCCCCCCTGAAGTTATGATTTTGCAGGAGTGCTATCCTCATACCAGACTGGAGAGGGTTTAATTTTAAGTACTTCAATGACATTCTCATTGGTCATCAGACCCTACCCAGATGAATAAAACACACAATACCATTGTTTGCAGATTAAAGAGGAAGGATCTCAAAGCTTTCAGAATGAGCCAGCGCTTTTTACACACAGGGGCTGAATGGAGCCTGTCAGCGTGAAGCGAGCAGCTGAAATGATTTACAGGAAACGCACGGGCGAGCAGCAGTGGCCGAGATTGAGTAACGCCCATAATTCATGTTTATGCTTCCTGTCTGGAGCTGGGCACAGCCTGCCAGGACTGGAGCTCTCAGTTCTCCCATCTCGGCTTTAAGGCCGACTTCACGTCAACTTCTGAAACGCTGCGCTTCTTAAAACAGCAGCATCTCCTTAATTTCACCCGGCCACGGTAAAAATGCAAAAAAAAAAACATGATTAGCAACGACAGCTGAGTTGCTGGATCCCTCTTGGACGCAGAATGCTCCGGTGCTTCTGCCAGGGGCATAGATCTGTCTCCTCGGGTAACAGGGCCTCACAGTGCAGGGGAGCGATCTCCTGCACAGGCAGCGAAGTCTGGACAACACTGCGGTAAATTCAACTGTCTAAAAAAAGAGATTGATATTGTAGCTACGTGATGTGTTAAATCAATATAACTGCCAGAAGACCTGGGGGAAGGTCACGAAGGGGATTCTTGTCTAAGACCCAGAGCTCATCCCTCTGCCAAGGGTGGACGTCGGACTGCAG